GGGTGGAGAGTGCCAAACATCGACGTGTGCCTTAAGGGATTTGGCGATTTTCATTCAAAGACCCTGTGCAGAACCATGTTGGATCCTTCTAGAGGCACCTTGGGGCCATCCTGTCGCACATCTCGACATGCCAGCAACCTGACACCGCTTTTGCTTTGAGAGGTCGCCACATCGCTGGCTTCTCTCGTAGCGGGGCCCTCTTAGAGCTGTCTTGGGACTATGCGAGCGCTGTCTGGGGGCGCTTCTTGGTTCTCTTAGGGCCCCCTTGGAGCCTTTTGGTGCCATCTTGGGCCCCCTTGGGCCATCGCGTTTTTTTGGGGGAGAAAGGGGTCCAGGGGCTGCCTGGGGGGGGTAGTGGGGGGCTGTCTTGGGCCGTCTTTAGCCGTCTTTAGCCGTCCTGGAGGTTTCTTGGCCCATTCTCGGGGCGTCTTGGGCCCTCTGGGAGTCGCCTGCGGGCCGCCTTGGCCCTTGTTGGCGCGTTTGGGCCCCCCCCTGTTGGAGCCATCTTGAACTCGGAATCTCAGAAGCGCTGAGTGCCAAAACATTGTGCCAAAGCTGGAAGGAAGTACGCAGACGATTTTCACCACTTGAGGTCCGTGCAGAGCCATCTTCCGTCCGCGGGGTTGCTGAGCTGTCGAGGGCTCTTTTGGGGTCTTTCGGGGGGCGCAGGAGGTGATCTTGCGGGGCGGGCGTTTCCTTTGCCCGACTGGGCCGGCTCTTGCTGCCCCGGGGCAGAAGGCCTCTTCAACCCCGCAGTGGCGCAGTTCCAATGTGTTCGATCGGACGGGTACTTTTTTTCCCAACCGTCCTGTGGTGTTGGGTCCTCGTTTTGAAGAGACGGTGCCCCGCGTCTCCCTCGCTCCTCCTCCTCCTCCCGCTGCCTCCTCCCTCCACCCTCCTCTCCCTCGTTGCCTCTGCTCACGGCGCACCCCTCACACGTTTCGTAGCCCCATAGGGAGCTCCACCTAAGGGCCCAGTGGCGCAGTTCGCATGCGTCTCCCCCACCCAGGACAGTGTTTCGTGGCCCCATAGGGAGCTCCACCGAGGGTCCCAGTGGCGCAGTTCGCATGCGTCTCCCCCACCCAGGACAGCTTTTCGTGGCCCCATAGGAAGCTCCACCGAAGTCCCAGTGGCGCAGTTCGCATGCGTCTCCCCCACCCAGGACAGCGTTTCGTGGCCCCATAGGGAGCTCCACCGAAGGCCCCAGTGGCGCAGTTCGCATGCGTCTCCCCCATCCAGGAGGACAACGTTTCGTGGCCTCATAGGAAGCTCCACCGAAGTCCCAGTGGCGCAGTTCGCATGCGTCTCCCCCGCCCAGGACAGCGTTTCGTGGCCCCATAGGGAACCCCACCGAGGGTCCCAGTGGCGCAGTTATCATGCGTCCCCCCCACCCAGGACAGCGTTTCGTGGCCCCATAGGGAGCTCCACCGAGGGTCCCAGTGGCGCAGTTCGCATGCGTCTCTCCCGTCCAGGACAGCGTTTCGTGGCCCCATAGGGAGCCCCACCGAAGGCCACATTGGTGCAGTTCGCATGCGTCTCCCCCGACCAGGACAGCGTTTCGTGGCCCCATAGGGAGCTCCACCGAAGGTCCCAATGCCGCACTTCGCATGCGTCTCCCCCGCCCAGGACAGCGTTTCGTGGCCCCATAGAGAGCTCCACCGAGGGTCCCAGTGGCGCAGTTATCATGCGTCCCCCCACCCAGGACAGCGTTTCGTGGCCCCATAGGGAGCCCCACCGAGGGCCCCAGTGGCGCAGTTCGCATGCGTCTCCCCCACCCAGGACAGCGTTTCGTGGCCCCATAGGGAGCTCCACCGAGGGTCCCAGTGGCGCAGTTCGCATGCGTCTCCCCCACCCAGGACAACGTTTCGTGGCCCCATAGGGAGCTCCACCAAAGGCCCCAGTGGCGCAGTTCGCATGCGTCTCCCCCACCCAGGACAACGTTCCGTGGCCCCATAGGGAGCTCCACCGAGGGTCCCAGTGGCGCAGTTCGCATGCGTCTCCCCCACCCAGGAAGGCCCCAGTGGCGCAGTTCGCATGCGTCTCCCCCACCCAGGCCAACCTTTCGTAGCCCCATAAGGAGCTCCACCGAAGTCCCAGTGGCGCAGTTCGCATGCGTCTCCCCAATCCAGGGCAGCGCTTCGTGGCCCCATATGGAGCTCCACCGAAGGCCACAACTGCACTCGCATGCGTCTCCCCCGTCCAGGACAGCGTTTCGTTGCCCCACAGGGAGCTCAACCGAAAGCCCCAGTGCCGCAGTTCGCATGCGTCTCCACCCACCCAGGACAGCGTTTCGTGGCCCCATAGGGAGTTCCACCGAAGGCAACAGTTGCTGCAGTCACATGCGTCTCCCCTACCCAGGACAGCCTTTCGCGGCCCACAGGGATCTCCACCGATTGCGATACTCACAACGACGGTACTCACAACTGCATATGGTTGGGTCCTTCGCCAGGCTAATTGTTTGTTGTTGGTGCCCCCCGTTTAGTTAGCTCGTCCTCCAGCGAAGTTACTCTGCCTTGCCGCCGACACAAAAAAGTCTGTTGTGATTCAGTGCTGGCTCCTCAGCCACGCGCAGAAGGGGGGTATGGGGGAGGGGGGAATGCTTCTTAGAAGCACCCCTGCTTCTTAGAAGGCGCACGCCTTCTCTGTAGATGCAGGGCTGGCGCCTTCTGAAAATCAGCCTCCTTCGAAGATGCCTTCCCGCCTGCTTCTTAAAAGGCGCTGGCC